CAGACGAAGCCCTTAGAGATGGAACGGTTGATTCACTGTTCTCTTTCGGGGTCAGTTGCATGCTCCTCTCGCTGTTGCTGCTGCCGCTTTTGCACATTCTGCTGCTGCGTCTGCGGCTTCCGCTACTGCAGTTTCAGCTGCTGCATCCTCAGCTGTCGCCGTTGCTCATTCTGCTGCTGCGTCTGCTGCTTCTGGAGTGTGATCAATGCTAGTTTTCGTGAATCGTATGGCGTATCTGCGTTTCTCCGACTGTCCTTGCTGAGGTTTCTGCTGCTGTTGGTGCTGCGCATGCACATGTGTACTGAAGGTAGAACAGCGGCTTGAGTGTCTCCAATCGCGGCAAGTACGATACACCTACAGCCGGCAGCAGGTGTTAGCGCTGCCAATACCCGTGCATGTGCAGCAAGAGGAGGAGGAACAGCAGCAACAGCAGCAGCGGCAGCAGAAGAGGAGAAAGGGAGCAGAGGGAACGCCTACGGAATCGGACGCTGGGGCCGAAGCCGGAGGGGACACGGCTGAGACGGTAGGCATCTCCATTTCTCTGCTCTTTCTCTGCTGTATAGACCCTTGACTTGATATTACCTTGTTTGTGTTTATTATATAAAGAAGTCCTACTCTTGCTCCGTGTCAGTGTTTCCTTTGTTCATGTCGCTTTCTGGTGCTCGGGATGTGGAATTCTGCCTGGATGCTAAAAGGTTACTCAGCGTTTGTGGTTGCGCCTGCTTCTGCCCGCAGCGCGGCGAGTCCGATGAGGCTGTGGCTGCTGTGGCTCCGTCAGTGCCTCTCTCCAGCTGCATTTCAGCTGCTGCAGCTGCTGCTGCAGTCAACGATTACCTTTCTCCCGCAACTGGCGCTANTCCAGCTGCATTTCAGCTGCTGCAGCTGCTGCTGCAGTCAACGATTACCTTTCTCCCGCAACTGGCGCTAAAGGGGACGCTGAAAAGACACTCCGACTTACCAATTACCCAGAATACCTTCTCGTCTTCCTCAAGCGTTTCTACATTAGTGACAGATGGATTCCAAAGAAACTCAAGTGCTCTGTCGAGGTACTGCATGGTTGTGGGTTTAGGGTTTAGGGTTTGGAGATGCAGCATCCCTTGGACTTCACTGGGGCCGATGTATGAAGCCGACGTAGAACTTCCACTCGACTTGTATTGGGATTTAGGGTTTGCGGCGAGGGTTTGAAGTTTGCGGTGTCTGGACAGATCCCTGAGGAGGTATCCTTTGAGGAGCTCCGGGCTTTCGGCCTTCAGCCGGAGGAGCGTGAGCTTCCGGACGAGCCGCCTCAGCGGCAGCTACAGCAACAACAACGCAACGGCTCCGAGGCAGCATCTGCAACAGCAGCAGCAGCTGCAGCGACAGAGAACGACGAAGTTGTTGCTACATTAGAGTCAATGGGGTTCTCCAATAACGCTGCTAAGTAAGTGATAGATATGGAAGGAATTATCGCAGCTTATAGCGACAAAAGCACGTGCTAACCAGAAATAGGAAATACAGAAGCATGCAGAATGCAAGAAGGCAGAAGGGAGACTTGATAGAGCTAGATGGACGGGAAATACAGGACATATCCAAGGGAGTAACGGGTAGACAGAGAAATAGCTCTAAGCGGAACACTTGATAGAGGCTGAACAATTCAGATGCAAAAAACGCAACAACGAGAAATGAAAAAAGATAGAGTGAGGCTTAAAACAAACGTTTGTTTTTTCTTCGTGTTGTTGATGAATTGCAGACGGGCTGTTCGCGCTACTGGAGGTGCTGCAGCTGAGAGCTGCGTGGAGTGGCTGATGGGTCACTTGGACGACCCGGGCCTCAATGATCCTATCTCTGAGGCTGCTGCTCCTGCAGCAGGGACAGAAGAAGCAGCAGGAGGCTCAGGAGCAGCATTTGCAGAGGATGAACCGGATGGAGAATCGGTGGAGACTCTGCTGCTATTGGGTTTCGATGCGCGGACTGTACGCGCAGCGCTCTTTGCAACCAGAAAACAGACGAATTCGGGGGGGGTCGCCAATGCCAGGGGCTCCTTTGACACGGGGCGTGCTGCCGATTGGATACTGGCTCAAGGCTCGGGGCTTGCTGCTGCAGTGGAGGAAACGCTTGCAGCGGTCGATGCAGCGAAAGCTGCTGCAGCCGCAGCCGCAAAAGAGAGGGAGGCAGACGCTCAGGAGAAGGATGTCCAGGAAGCTGCAGCGGCAGGACTTCCGCCTTTGGAGCGGTGTCGCTTGGGTTTAGGAGATGGCTGTGGACAGTATCGTTTGTTCGCGTTCGTTACACATTTGGGGTCGAGCGTCTCTGGGGGCCACTACATCTGCCACGTGCGCACCAAGGATGGGAGCGGCTGGCTGCAATACAACGACGAGAAGGTGACGAAGCTGCAGAGCTGCGATAGCCGCCAGGCATATCTTCTTTTGTTTAAGCGGGTAAAAACTGAGAACAAAGAACCTGCCGCAGACATGCAAAAAGATGCATAGACGAGCTGCACACAAACGATAACTGAGCGGCGCGCCCGTACACCTGAAGCCCACGACAACGCCGGCTGCGTCCAGTTTCCGCTGCCTCTGGCGAATCCCTTCTGGGGAATGCTGACCGTCGCTGGCCCTTGCAGCCGGCTACTTGTACTTCTCTCTTGGTGCTGGATCCGGTTTCCCAGCAAATTCCGAGCTGTATTCCTCGTACATCAGGGTCCTTTCTCGCTGGCGCTTGCCAGTGTCGGTTTCTTTTACTCTCTCTATGCTGCATAGTCACTATCGCCGTTCTGCCGCCATCTTCTAGTCTCATTTTGTATCTCGTGTATGTGCTGTTCGCCTCGACACATCTGCTTTAGTGTTCCCGTACCACCGCCTCTCTTCCTGTCTATATATCTGCGCCTGTGTCTGCTTCCAGCCCTGACCCTCCCAGTGCCGGTTCCCAAGGGCAGCAGGCACTCCTCCTTGGTGACAGCTGCATTGCTCGCTGCACTGCAGCAGCAACAGGGTCAGAGACAGCAGCACTCGCCTAGAAACGTCGTCTCCGATGCAACAACGGACTCCTTACATACGTGGCGCCTCTCGCTGGCGCTACAGTAGTAGGTGTGCCTTTTCCGTTGCTTCCGCAGCAGGCGCTGCTTCCCCGTCGCCTGCTACTGCATGAGCATTGTGTGGCTCTTACTCCTGCTACCAGAAGCCCAGTGTTGCATGAGCATGGCGTGGCTCTTCCTGCTGCTGCCAGAAGCCCAGTGTTAGGCAGCAGCTGGCAACTGTAGGCTGGAGCAGCCGTACCAGCAGCAGCAGCAGCAACCGAAAGGATTCACTCGGATGCTCACCCTGTGGCAACCGAGAAGCGACCAAAAGTTGCTGCTGCGACGGCTGCATGCTATCTTCCGTTTTGATGCATCTCGGGGGTCTGGTTTGAGACAGGTAGGACAGACACCTGCCTACCTACCTCCCAGATGGACCCCAAGGGATCTGACAGCTCCCCTTTTAAACTAAAGAGGCATCTCCGCTTGTCGGTAGCCCTCGCTGAGGCTGAGGCTGAGCTGTAGAAAGTGGCGTCGCTACTTCTACTTGAACGCTTCGCCCCATCCGCTCTCCCGCCTAAATTATTGAAGCTGATGAGTTTCTAACTCGCTGGTGGCATCTGTCTAAAGGGAAAGAGGCCAACTGTAACGTGATTCGTCGACCTTAGTCGCAAGCCACCGTGAGCTGCAGAAGAGCCAAAATTCTCAAGATAGGAGTTTAACTAATGGCAGGCAGCCTTCTCTCCCGACCAGCCCCAAGCTTCTGGGGGGCTGTGCGTATGACACCTGGAGGCTGGACGGGAGCTCTGTTGCTCTTGGTGAATCACACCTTGCTGCAACGAGCGCTGCAAGGCAAGGCCGCTTGGCGCCCTTCTTAACCCTCATTTGGATGCATCCACTACCACTGTAGACAATTCTTAAAGACTTACTTAGCCCTCGTTAGCCAACCTGCGTGTAAGCGGGGATGCAAGTACCACCTTCAGATCTAGAGTAACCTGACACTAGCGCATGATGCGCCCTCCCCACTTCCACTGGCTGTTTCACAAGGGGGCTATGGGATTGTTTATCCTATAAGAGAGGAAATTACGTTAATTCGAAACTATAGAATGCAAGATATAACTATCAACTAGTTTCACGTAGCAAAGGCAATGAAGCCCGTCGCTGCTTGCTGCTGCAAGCGATAGTTTTTAGGTGGCGTTCCCTTCCACGAATATCCAGAGAACAACAGATTGACAGAGCTAGCGCATATTGCTTCAAAATAGACTGAGGCAAGTACACTGGGAGAAGCACAGCAAGGTAAACGGGTGTAGGAACCACGCATCGAGTGGTATGCTTCTAGCCGGAATGAGCTGTGGTTAATGCGCTACCTCTGATCCGAAGCAGTCCTTTCTCAGCCTTCCAAAAGAGCTTACAATATGGCTAACCCAGAGGGATAAACCTAATTTGCGATTAACTGCCTTGTTTAGAGGGGGACTCGAGACTCCTGCAGACTTGACCGCTGGTTCTTTGGCTTCACGGCACACGCACGAGGTGTTACGACTGTCTGTGCAAGAAATTCGTTGTACTTGATTTTAAAATGTATCTTTTTAATTCTTGATTGGGGAAAGGGTAAAATAAAGTGGTTTAGAGCATATTCTCGTGTCAAAGAGAGGTGATACATGCCGGCTAGCCGGCCGTGAATCGCTGTGCAGGCCGGGTCCCGTGTTGTTCGAAAGCGCAGCCGATAAGCGGCTGCATTTCAGCTCCGGGACTCCTCCTTTCTGCACCATTGAATTATCAACTCAAATATACCATACAGCCTTTTTATAGTGACAATTTATACCCCAATCTACCTTCCTCCGTTGTTTACCTGTCTCTGGTCAGTCGACACCGCAGCAGGCTCAGTCCACTCGCCCTGATCAGTCAAGGCGTAACCCTGGCTAGCGCGTAAACACCCAAACATCTTTGCCAGTTTTATTATTCCTACTGTCAATTCCCACTTTGCGCCTTCTTCTTCTTGGTGTGTTCTTCATCAGAAATAACTCTCCGTCCTCTTCGAGATTGTTCTACCACGGGGACCGACGACACCGCAGCTCGCTGCATCCAGCCCGGTGAGACTGCTGAAGAGTCGTTTCGCCTCTTTGTTTTTCATTCACTGGAGTAGTTGTTTGAACTTGTAAATGCTCGGAGAAGTCTGTAGTTGTAGATAAGAGCGCTGGTATGCCGCACAGAATGTAGAGTGGCGAACTGGTCACAGAGCNAAGTCTGTAGTTGTAGATAAGAGCGCTGGTATGCCGCACAGAATGTAGAGTGGCGAACTGGTCACAGAGCAGGACTGCAGCGGAACCAAAACGGAAGGAGAATGCCCCCGCTAAATGTCTCATCGGAATAATCTTTGCACATGACACTCAGTAACTTCGTTTTGATCAACGCTGTTGCGTACTTGCGCAAGCTACGCCGCTCGTCGACATGCATGTCATTGCTTGTGCTGCTTCCATGCTTTTGTGCCTTTGCGATTCAGTGCTGAGAGGGCTCTCTCCCTTATCCACTTTTTAAGAAGATCAGGAAAATGGGTCAATCACTTACTACCCAGGAGAAACACAACATCAAGCGTGAAATCTACACGCTGTATCCCGGCCTAGAGCAGCAGCTTGAAATGGCTTTCAGCTGCCATGATGTGGAAGGAACCCTTGCCCTCCCCTATGCCACTCTCGAGCCCGTTATTAGGCATTTGCTGATGCAGTATGGATTAATAGAATACGTGACTCGATTCAGCAAGGCATCTGGTGAGTCCAAAGAACAGAGAAGCTTGCAGCTTATATGCACAAACTTTCCAGTGTGCACGTATGTACTGTTGGCCGCAATAAGTGTGTTGCTACCGATTAACTTGCAGGAGCCCTCGACCCTGAACATGTGCGCCACGAACTGGCGGAATTCGGAGTCGCCACGACAAGACTCTTCGGTGACGCAAAGCTCAACGTTGAGGACTTCAAGAGCCTGGCAGTTATCTGGCTGAAGAAGATACTTGACACTCATGCAGGTGCGCCATCTTTTTGTATGCGTTTCCCGGCTCGTCTGCTTCTTTGAATTGTTTGTGTGTTGCGGTGCCTCCCCTATTTGGATTGTTTTTTTTTCGGTCTGATTCCGTTTGCCTTTAAATTTGTTTGTCACACAGACGATCAGGCCGAATGGATGGAAAAGTTGAGAGCTGACCAAGAAGAACAGAGCGCCAACTATGCGAAGGCGATGAAGGAATTTCAGGAGCAGTATGTCAAGCAGCAAGCCGTATACCAACAGGGACTCGAGGAACAGCAAAAGCAAATACAAGACTGGAACAGGGTAAGGAAGGGTTTAACCAGATGTAGCTACATTTACCCTTGAGACCACTGCAGAACGTGCTGAGCTACATATTCACGCGGCCACAGGCACACATATTGTTCTTGCTGGAACTTGCTCGGGCGAGCACGCTCAATCCGCATCCCAAGGAACAACTCAAATAGCTCCTTGTCTGCCAACATGTTCTATTTTGTGCTGCAGCTTCTTGAGGATGCTCACAAAACGCAGCAGCAGATATATGATGAAGAGGTTCGGCGCATGAAGGAAATTCAGGAGCGGGAGGCACGGGCCTCTGAGATCGCTCGTCAGGAGGAGTTGGAGCTGACCCGCAAGTACCAGCAGAAGCTCGAGGAAATCGCAAAGTCCGAGGGAGGTAAATGCTTTGTCTACCCAGCAAGCAAAACTCCCTATGGCGCTTGTGCCTCGGCTGGAGCACAGGAGCCTTGCAGGAGAAAGAGGAGCCACGCGCGTAAGCAATCCGCGAAAGGCTGCTGCTAATCTACCCACTTCCTCTCAAGAAACTAGATCAAAATCCACTACCTCCACCTACCGTAAAGCCAACGAGCAACGAGGAAGGAGAAAAAGCGATTACGCACGTCTAGAAGGACCAGATGCACTCGTCAGCGAGGATGCCTGTCGAGTAGCCGCCGTCAAACCCATAGGGAAGTCAACGGCGCTGTCCACCAAATAAGCTAAGGACATGCAGAAAGTAATACAAGGAGGTTAATAGGAGCACAAGCCTGGTGTGGGGCCGTAGTCTATTGTTGCAGGCAAGGCCCCTGCTTTCGGATTTTGTACAGCAGGTCCCGAGAGATGTGAATTTACAGCGTCATTATTCCCTGCATTGTGCCCCCAAAGACACCAGTGTGACGTTGCAGTAGAGCATGCAACAGGTGATGCCGCTTTGCCGCGTGTATCGTTCGATGGATGCGGTTTGGTTTGGTCAAGCAAACCAGGGGGCGTGTCCATCCGTCGTTTTGTGCTGGGCTGCTTGCGGCATTTTGTGCCCAGAGGAGAGTATATGACCNGGGCGTGTCCATCCGTCGTTTTGTGCTGGGCTGCTTGCGGCATTTTGTGCCCAGAGGAGAGTATATGACCGCTATGAACTTTCTGATCTGCTTTAGTAAAATTTATATGGGGACAACACGCTTACTGTAACGACAGGCTGTCGCCTTTCGCGTGAGGCGAGTGCTGGAGTGACGGAGGCTGGTAGCAAGTTTGGTTAGTCGTTTGACGCTCATGCCGTAACTTAGGCGGCCTCATCACTCACACATCACCGCTTTGCTTGTAGATTGTAGAGAAAATGTCATTGGACTATGCAATATGCTTTCCCACACCAGGTGTCGAACCATTAGGATCGGCTAGCGATCCTGGCTCAAAAACAGGTGCGCTCCCCACCTTTATTGTACGATGCTTATAATGATCTGAAGTATAACGTGGAAGAAGATCAAAATTGAGCTCTGCTAGGAATGACGAGGGAAAGACAAGCAATCTTGACGTTGCTTGCACCTGTCCAGCTGCAGCAGCGAGCCTGTAGAGCCTGTACGGTATGTATGGCTCGTCAGCCAGAACAGACTTCATAAGTTAGTGGTTTCATTACAAACAACAAAACATATAATATTAAATATAAATGATTTTCATTGAAAGATGACTAAGAATATTGCTCCTGGACAGGGTACGGCGCGCCGAGCTGCCGAGCCAGTCAGAGCCGTCTCCAGCTGGTCGCTCTCTTGCGGTGTAACATGTTAGTGGTCAGCATACGTATTTGGCTTTACTACAATAGCCTTAACAGTGCTATCGACAGTCATCATTCACCGCTTGGCGGAGGAAAAGAACAGAGCCATTGCATGCAAAGTGCGGCGCATAGACCATTTCACTGTACGCGGCGGGACATTGATTTAAGCTTTCTACCGCTATTAGCTCATTGAATACAGTCTCACTGATTGAAACGCATCCAGCTGCCCCCTCCTAAACAGTACTTTGGGATGGCGCAGTGGGCGGTTTAGATCAACAGTCCCGGCCCAAACGGGGAAGAACTATGGGGTCTTGTATGAAGTAGTGGTTGAAGGAGTCAAGTACTTCGAACCGTAGTAGCTGGCATAGACTAACAGCATCCAGAGTCAGTTTCGTGAGTTTTTGAAGTAAAGGGTTGGACGTAGACAGGAGACTTGCAGCTCCGTTACCGTCCTCAATGATGCAGCAGCACAAGACAAGTGCTAAAATTCCAGTTAGTTGATGAATAAGACACTAACCTACCCCTGAGGAATAGTAAGCTGATCCTACCGTGGCGTCAGCTCATCTGGGCATTAAATCTTCTCCCCATGGCGCCTCCCACAGCGAGCGGTGGGTCTGGAGGGGATTCTCGTGGTGAGGAAACTACTGAGGAATCGGCCAGCAGGACTGCCATCCGTTTCCAAGAACCTGAGAAAGACTCTTCTTCTAGTTTCGATTCGTCAGAAAGTGTCGGCACAGGAGGCAGTGATGACACGCTGCGAGAATGCGATGCGTGTGATGCGCGGGACTCTGAAACCACTGAGCAACCTGCCAAAGAATCTCCTAAGCAAAAAGTCATACCTAGCCTTGTTGCAGACACATTAAGATGTACAGCCCCGTACGGCTTAGTTCAGAGCCCTAGTTGGTCTTTACCACCGCTTGCAGCGAGAGATGTCAGGGCTGAGCAGCAGAGGAGGCGCCGCGGCCCACCACCAATCCTACACTCCTTAGTAAGCGACCGTGAGCAAAGGCCCGGCGAGTCCGATACCCGGAGAAGGAGAAGCAGCCGTCAGAAATCTCTCTCAACACTCCAGCGCATACCTACTTCAGAATCAGCCGTTCCCAAACACGTGAACTTTCTGTACGACACGTACATGAGCAACTCGCCTTCAGCAGCTGATCGCCCTACTAAGGGAGATGCCAGCTCCGCTGGAGTGGTGGAGACTCTGATGGCAGTGCACACTGAAAATGAAAATTCGGCAGCACAGAATCAGGATTTAGATGAAAATGGCTACGCGGACTTGACAAAAGTGAAAACAGAGCGAGACGCCGTGGCGTTCTTCGCTCGGCACGGAAGCACAACCAAAACTAAGTTCCTCTTCTGCAATAGGGCGCCCACCGACCCGCTAGAGTTCGAACCCTACAAACTCGTCGTTGTGCCACAAAATCAAGTCAACCCCGAGCATTTCACTATATCGGAAACTGCAGTAATGCACATTTGCCCGGGAAAACCATCAGAGTGTTTTCGGCAAGACGAGTGGATGCGGCAAGCGTTTGTTCACTCCCTTCTACGAACCCTTCCGTTTTTCAAGACATTCGTTGCCAGAAAGGTGTTGTGCCTATGGAGTTATGCGTCGAGAAAACACGTATTCGAAGAGCGAAGAGAAATGCTGTGCAGAACGCTGTTTATAGCAAAGCCTATTTACTGTGAACACCTCCAACAAATTCATAAGGTCCTCGCCGGTGTCAGCGAAGTCAAATTAGTTGAGTTACAGCCTGGACTGTACGACATCACCCAGTTTACTGCGCAGCAGAACACTGTGCGCTCGGACCCGAAGATTGGAGCGAGCAAAGCGTTGGAGGTCAGCTCTGCGCTGTGAAAGAGGCCAAATAAATAAGAATTAACCCTAGTCTACAATGGCTGCTGCTGTTGCTGCTGCTGCTCTTCCTGCCGCTGCTGGTGGTGGTAGCTTCTTACTTCGGAAACAGAAGCACCCTCTAAGGGGTCGCCTACGGAAGCTTGAGTAAGCAAAGAGCAGCGCGTCAGTAACTGGATTAGGCAACTGCACAACGTTCTACCCCTTCCGTGCAGGTCAAACAAACGGAAGCACGGGCTTTGCTCGTCGAACTGATGCAAAAGCTCCAGGAGGCAACGCAGCTGCCAGAAGTGGACCCGATGCACGCTTGCTCTTCCAGTAAGGGAAAATCAATCTTTCAGGCAAAGCGAGAAGCAGTGGAACAACAGCGACTTATCCGTCAGGCGTACAAGAACCAGGCGCTCTTCGGGCAGTTCATCCTTCTAATAGATCTCATTTTCACCATGCGACTAGCCAAGGTGTAGTTCCACGACAAATTCAAACACACTCCCAGACAGCTGCAGCTAGACACGGCGTACTTACACCACATGGCAGCCCCATGTTTCGATGCAGAGCCTCTTTGGCCTCGTCACCGCTGCATCCGCAAACATTCTTTGGGCTCAGAAGAAAACCGCATCAAAGTCAGAACATGTGTTATCTGCGTGCTTGTACAGGCCGTCACCAAGGCGGCAGCGACGATGTTGGAGCGCCTCGGCACGGAGGAAACTTGTGCAAAACTGTTTTCTGTACATGTTTGCTTCGGCAGCACAAAAGTAGAACTCGACCCGGGCCGTCCGGCTTTCGTTTCTATGCACCACGAGTGGTGGGAAGGTAGGGCAACTGCCTGGCCAAGAGGCTTTTTTGTTCACGCACCATAACTGACGAATTTGCTCACGTGAAGACACATGCTTTAGTTCCCTTGCAACTGGAGATTGCTCACCTTCCTACTCGGGAGGAAAATAAGTAACAAGATATGGTCGTGGGCTTGAGACATAGGGGTCCGGACGGTGATATAAACTTAACGTCTCTCACGTGCCACTTGGAACACTAATGTAAAGTGAGAATTCGGTTTCCATGCAGGAATTGTTTCCACCGTCAGTAGCGTTATACTACTTAGCCAAAGCCGCCAATTTGAAGACTCAGTTGTACAAGGTCCTCCACTGAGTTTGGAATCATTGCTCACCCAGTCAAAGCATCTGCAGCTCATGAAGGTACTCGAAAATGCTTGGCAATATAAAAAGCTTCACTTCCAGCGAAAATCGAGACATAGGTGCAACTGAACACTCCCCACTACGGCGGGCCTTCTGATTGCCGTGCAACCGGTCCGCACGGTAAATTGCACAAAACCGGTGTGGTGTGGACGATGCAAAACACTTATCAATGCGCTTCTTGCAGAAACGAATTGAAGAGAGGATCTTAAAGGACTTTGACCGTGCACAGAAATATTCCGAATCGTATTTTGGAATATACCGGTAGACGTTTCCCTCCTAACTTTCCATGAATAATCATACACCCGTGCACGGACCCTAGCTTAGACCCACACAAAGCTCCCTCCAAAAGCTGTGCGGCTTTGAGCGAGAGCTTTGAACATACCTGCTTTCTAAAGGAAACTAGGGTTCTGGCGTGATTGGCATGTGCTGCGCAGGCAGATATATGAGTATGGACAGAATTGGGATGAGACAGCGTTCGCTGACTCAGTCAGCGGGCACGATGAATTGTCCACCGAGATGGAGCTCATTTCAGAGTTTGAAGAGAAGCTTGACAAACTTAACCCACTCCACGTTGTTGGTCTGTTCTCAATAGAGGCACGGAGCCTCAAGTCGTCACTGCAGCCTGTTACGGAGAAGGCGCTTACTTTCATGAAACGGCTCCTGTGGAAACTCATGAAGGAGCACGTAGGCATCTCAGCACATCCCACCATCTGTGCAGTTTGAGTGCCGCAGAACCTCCACTTTTTCCCCATTATCATGCTTCTACGGTGTAGGGCAAGCCACCCAAATACCCAACGTGGCATCGGATTTGCTTGCTGTAGTTGCAATTTTAGTTTTCGGCTCATCCTACCCTCAAAAATGTTGCTCCTTACAACTGCTAGGTACGAAGCACCGCCAGCCGCTTCGAATCCATAAACAAACGTCTAGACGAACGGCCAACGAAGCTGGTCCCATTTGCTTCTTTCGTGAGCAGTTGCAACGAGATTAAGGCGCAAATCGAAGACCTGGATCGGGATAAGGTGAAGCAACAATTTACAGGACATGGATAAAGGAAGGCCTCTGCAGTGTTGGTTCGATCTCTTCCACCCTACCACACCCTTTGCCAGTAGACCCTCAGTAAGCATTACTGTTCTGAATGTCCTGGATAATTCTTCAGGCAGCTGCCGAAGAAATGTTTTCTTTGTTGAAGCAATACGGTGTCCGCTTAGCCGTTGAAGACACGATTCAGCTTGAAAACATGTTGAAGAGTGCAAATGAGTTTGAGTCGTTCAAGCTGCTAGATGCAGCGGAACATATAAGGTATGGAAGTAATACCTTATCTGCAATTCATGCTTAACGAGTGCAATCCTTCTGAGATAAGAGCCCGTCACCTCGGATGGTGATTATCAATATCCAGACAAATGGAAAAAGAGGGTCAGTGAAAGCGGTTGCTTTTCCACTCCAGGAACAATCTGCAGACAATGAAGGTCGAGCTAAGGACAAAGAGAGAAGAGGTTGAGAAAGAGATGCAGGAGCTTAACAAACTAGTCAAAGACGGTGAGATTTGTCACCATCCATAATCAACGTACCACTGCGGCGCAGATAGGTGAAGGCGTGCTGACAACCCTGGTTAGCAGGTTAGCGCGCCCACACCACCGTCGCGTGCAGCTGAGTCCTTACATGCTTCAGAGGAATTTACGAAGCTAGAGGCACTGGACGACCCAACAAGGTCTTACGAGCAGTTGAAAGCATACGAAGAGCGCATCAACTTCGCGTATGGCAAGGCCGAGACCCTGAGAGGTATGGCGGAGCTCCTGGCTCCAGAGGCTCCTGCCGTCATATCCAAGGAAACCGAAGAAACGCTCCGCCTCATCAAGCCCAAAGTTGAAATGTGGCACCAGATCTGTTCATGGCAGAGCAGTACGGATAAGGTAAAACTGAACCCTGCTCCATGTATCAACCTGGATGTCAGCTCAATCCTTTCCAATGAGCAAATCATGAACACGTAAACCTAAGCAACCGGTAACGAGAAACTATACTCGCGAGGCTCTCGTTTGTTTGTTTGTCACCGAAGTGGCTTGGCGTGCCGTTGGCTTCATTGGATGCTGAAGAAATCGAGGTGGGGATAAAGAAGTTTTTAAAGGAAGCTTGTATAGCTCTGCAGAATTTTCCTGGAGACCCCGTTGCAGCAGAATTTAAAAAGGAAGTCGAAGGCTGGCTGTCCCGCCTGCCGCTCATTTTGGACTTGGGGAATACTGCACTTAAGCGGCGACACTGGGAAACTATCTTTGATGAACTCAAGTGAGTTACAGTGTACGCATGCGACACCGAGACAGGGAAGCTTATTCACTTGCAGATTAGACTGCGCAAACAATATGACACTGACTGGCTCAGCTGCTTCTGCGTAGGATTCCCGGAACAGAAGAGTCAACATGCTTGAGACAACTGGAACAAATGGACATATTTTCTAAACGCGATTTTATTAACGAAATATCCACTCTTGCATCGGTGCAACAGTCTCTAGGCCAGACGATGGACAAGATAACAGAGGTCTGGGAAGCGAGAGAGCTATTGGTAAAGCCATTTGATGAAGACCCAAATGCCTTTATCCTTGGTGAGGCTTCTTGCTATGTGGAGCATTGTATGGCCTATGCGCGGCTTCCATACCACTAGTATAACATCCCGCTATTTGGATGCTTGCGCTGGCGCAGGGGATATAAGCGAGTTGCTCTCTATCGTAGAAGATCACCAAATATCTGTGCAACGCATGCTGCATAACCCTTATGTGGGAGTTCTTAAGGAGAAGGTGGAATTTTGGGCTGGGAAGCTTGACATAGCGCAACAGGTCTTGGGTAAGGAGGCAATTGTCCATTCAGTACACTTCGCCCTTGCTATTTGCAGCTGTTGAGCCCGAAAGATGTGGACTCTATATCGGGTATCATTCGGACATGAGGCAAGTGGGACATCATGGTCAGAATATCTGTGGCGACTTTGCTTCAGAGGAGTTGGCACAACTGCAACGCCAATGGATCGGTCTACAGAGCATTTTCGGCAACGTGGAGGCCCTCGAACAGCTCCCTGATGATGCAGAGGCATTTGAGCGTGTCGATGGCTTTTGGAGAGCGTACCTCAGGAGAATTCGAGGGGAACAATCTAATGTCATAACAGTTGTGCAGGAAGAAGGCCTTCAAGAACTCCTTGCGGATAAAAATGCAATATTAGCTGCAGTGCAGCGCAAGCTGGAGGTAAGTCAGAAGAGCTCACAGGATGGCGATTTGATACAAAGTATCCGGGGGAAGGGTCGCTGCGCGTAGTGGAGAAAACAAACGTAGAGCCTCTGCTTCCTTCGGTGTTTCGCCCAGGACTACCTTGATCTGAAGCGGATGGCCTTTCCCAGGTTCTATTTCCTGTCTAGAGAGGAGCTGATCAAAATTGTATCCAAGGCCAAACAACCGAACGCGTTGCAGCACAGCTTTCAGAAGTGCTTTGATGGAATTCGCGCGGTTGCTGTAGCATCAAACGGGACAACGGTAGAGGGTCTTTTCTCTGGGGACGGGAATAAACTAGACCTGGATTCGCCTGTCAGCGCTCTTGCTCCCGTCGAGCAATGGTTCGCCGCGCTCGAAGGCGCCATGATAGCAACTTTGAAGCGCCACTTAAAGGTCACAATACAAAGCCGAGCTGGAGGGCAGGACACGCAACATTGGCTTTATGAGCACCCTGCCCAGTGCATATTGACTGCAGCAATGATTCAGTGGTGCTCCAACACAGAACATGCACTACAACTCATACAGTCAGAAGGACAGAACGCAGCTTTCGAAGATTGTCTGAAGGATACGAACAAGGAAATTCAGCTGTGAGAGGCCTTTCAACACTATCACTACACCCATCAATCGAGAGTAACAAGCAGATAGCCATGGAGAACTAACTTTCATAAAGATGTCTAGTACCGTTTTTCTAGACAAGAGCTCCGGTAGAAAGGTCTACCTGTCCAGCTATTCAGAATCTCGGCTAGACACAAGTATAAGTGCGACGCAGTGTAAGTGAGAAGCAATATCTACGTCTGAACTTGAATGCCGTCATGCTTGAACTCAGGCTTGCGCTGCTCAATGCACAGACAGAGGATTCATCATCTCAAACATTAGCCCAATCTCTTCTTGTTTTGATGGTCCATGCCCGCGACATCCTTAATTCTCTGCACCAATCAAAGAACATAGGCCCTTCATGCTTTGAATGGACAAAGCAGCTGCGTTACTACTGGCACAATGAGGATGAAGACTGCGATATAGAACAACTCCAAGCAAAGTAAACCCATGAAACCTGAAAATTAGAACCCTGATGTGGCAAGGAATCTTAGGGCATCACTGGAACTCCTCGGGAAGAATTAAATTCACTAAGTATAGCAGCCTCTATCGCTTAACTAAGAGTGTCTGGTAGTGGCTTGCTATGTGGTCCTCAGGTTCCGGTATAGGCATGAGTACCTTGGCTGTGCTTCGAGACTTGTGATCACTCCGCTTACTGACAAGTGTTTCATGACGGTTACGTCCGCCTTGCATCTTGGGTACGGGGGGGCGCCTGCAGGGCCGGCTGGAACAGGTAGGGCGGCCTCTGTCATGCAGACGCCACTAGGAAGCAGCACAAGTGCACTGATGAGGTCATAAGTGTTTGCCGCACCGTGACAATCACCACAGGACTTGCGAGGGAGCTGGTCTGAGCTGCCGCTGCCGGCACAAACCTGTCTCTATCCGCTGCGACACAGGCAAGACGGAAACAGTAAAGGACCTGGCAAAAGCCCTTGGGTTGCCTTGCCTCGTATTTAACTGTTCGAAAGAATTGGACCATCATGTAATGTCACGCTTGTTCAGAGGCCTCGCTCAAACTGGGGCATGGGCCTGTTTTGACGAATTCAATAGGATTGACATAGAGGTTTTATCAGTCGTTGCTCAACTTCTCCTGAAAATCCAGACGGCCATACGCGCTCAGAAGGAAATTATTGAATTTGATGGAGGGAGTACTCGTGTCGATAACAGGCAAGCGAATGGAAGAGTTCATACCCAGCTGTTTCCAGGCTCCTTCACAGAGCGACTACCTGTGAATGCGGGCGGACTCTTCCACTGCTTGTGCGATGCCTTCCAGAGTAGGAATCTGCATAACAAACAATCCAGGTTATGCTGGAAGGACGGAGCTTCCCGAAAATCTGCAATCCCTCTTCAGACCGATTTCAATGGTCAAGCCAGACTTGACGCTAATTGCCGAGGTCATCCTGCTTGCCAACGGCTTTATCACTGCAAGCGAATTGGCAACCAAGGTCGTGCAGGTTTTCTCCATCGCAAGTGCTTTACTTAGCCAGCAAACGCATTACGACTGGGGACTAAGAGCGATGAAAGCCGTGCTGGTAAATGCTGGTGAGTTCGCTCTGAGGGGAACAGGAATTAGCTTCGAATAGCGCCTCTGCACGGTTTCACAGTGCCACGAAAAATGCCACCCTCTGTTCTTTGATTGCATCTATGTACAGGGGAAGTGAAGAAGAGAGAACCTGGGCTGGATGAAACAGCTGCCATGATGCATGCGCTTCGGTCTATTGTGCCCCGACTTGTCATGGATGATGTGCCGGCATATTTAGGCCTTGTTGCTGATATGTTCCCCCAGCATCCAGTACCGGGACCATCTGACGATCCTTTAAAACTTGCATTTGAAAAAACTCTCCAAGAGCAGCATCTTCAGCCTTTACCTAGGTTTGTGGAGAAAGCAATGCAACTATATCAGACCCAACAGCTCAGGCATGGCATCCTGGTGGTAAGGTGAAGCACCTGACCTACCTAGGGCGACATCCTGCGCTAGCCCCTCTAGCTCGTGTGCAGAAAAAGTCAAGGCGTATTCGTCTTTTGGGTTCATCCTGATTTTGGAGTGGAAGCCCCAATCCCAAAATCCACTAGGCGAAACTTGCTCTCAGGTGGGAGCTCCAGGAGCCGGGAAATCAACACTGATCCTCGGTTTATCAACGGCATTATCCCAACTTAGTGCCAAGACTGAGACTGAATCAACTGCTGAGAATGATCATTATGACGGCATGAGGGTCAACGGCAATTGTGATGTGTTACGGGTAAACCCCAAAGCAATGGAGGAGACGCTGCTCTTTGGCAGGTTGGACCCCAACACCACCGAGTGGCTTGACGGAATCGTAGCAGCAGTACGCTCAACACACTGACTATCGAGCACCTCCACTCACACTTCCGAACTGAACGGAGTTGTCTAGCACAACAACCACCACTATCTGCAGGTTATGATGGGAAACAATGCCTGTAGATTTCTGTTTTGCTCCAGCGGGTGAGGGACGCCCTTGCCTCACAAAACATTGCCCACAGTTGGCTTGTCCTTGACGGACCTTTAGATCCAAACTGGGCAGAGAACTTAAACTCTGCTCTAGACGACAACAAGATCCTATGTCTTAGCAATGGCGAGCGCATTCTCCTGCCGAGCAACCTTAAGTTTTTCTTCGAAGTTGCCGTAAGTATTAAGTACTTCGGAACGGCAATGCCCGGTATTCAGCTGTTGCTCCCATGCCTTTATCTATTCCTTGATTTTTCTGGGGCCAAAGAAGACCTAACTTCTGGTTGGTTGCGTGTGACTTCAATTGTGGACTAGGACTTGGGAGCTGCTTCCCCCGCAACGGTTAGCAGATGTGGAACTGTATTCATCGAGCCTGAGCATCGAGGTTGGAGGCCGTTGTTTCAGTCGTGGAGACAATCATTTGAGGTGAAGAAAAACAAATTCGCATCGTATGCGCCTCAAATTGAGAGCTGGTGTATCTCTACTTTCCAAAAGGCTCTCGAGTACATACGTGCGAACTGCAAGGTATGCTTGCTAGAGACACTGTCCTGCAGGTGTAAGAAACGTACCGTTGCTCTTGGACTGGGCATTCTCCGCGGGCACCTTTGTTTAGCTTCCTATAAGCCCACAGCTTTACACAATTTAGGTACATGCTAGATGGGACCATCCAGCCTTATTCTTTCGCTTCGAAATGCCATAACTACTTGCTCACTAGGATGGGTTGTTCTGTTTGCTCAGTTGTCGATGCCATGGAGCGATTCATTACTTGCAGCATCAGTCTGCCGCATCCTTACCGCTGCGCTAAGTAAAGAGTCTCCGCAGCACATACCCACAGAGCACACTGCAGAATTGGCACCTATGTACTTCGTTGTCGCACTAGCGTGGGGTGTTGGAGGACACCTTGGTGACGCACAGAGAGCTGGTCTCTCAAAAGCCATGCTACCAGACCTTTGCATGATATGCAAGCAACTTGAGTGCCTGTTGCCTTCCACAACCATTTATGACGTCATGCCTGACGCTTCTACATTGAAGCTGAAGACTTTCGACTCAATGATCCAGAAATATGTATTGGAAGGGGGAGTAACAGCTAGCGGCATCTTCGTACCAACGGCCCGGACAGTTGCTAACTCATTCATTCTGCGTACATTAGTGGACGTAAGCCATCCCAGATGAGCATAGCACGTTTGCAGTTGTAGCCAGGCCCGTTAGGACGAAAAAGTGGACGCGCATTGCCAAGATATCGGTAGTCACTGATAAGCGTGAGACTCACTGAAATCTGCAGGGCGGATACGGATGTTTACTTACTGGAAAACCCGGCACTGGCAAGACTTCACATCTCCAACAGTGCATGAAAAATCCGGGCACCTCAAATGTTTGCTGTAAACTGGCGTTGGCACATAGGACTACGACAGACGACGTAGAGGATTTTTTGATGACCCGATTTGTGAAGCGGCACCGACGGTCGTTGGGACCTCGGTATGGCTCTCGCATGTTGTTTTTAATTGACGACCTCGCCTTACCTGTCCCGGACACATTTGGTGCACAAAGGCCTCACCAGTTATTGAGACAAATTGTCGAGTATGGAGGCTTTTACGAACGTACTCGTTTCCAGTTTATTCATGTTGAAGACACAAGTACTGTTCTTGCTGGTGCAACGGACGTAGCAGGATCACGGACAGACATGCGGTGGGTATTCTTCACTTCACCTGTTGTTCAATATCAATGCCTTGCTGAATGGAAGCTGGATAGGCGCAGCAACTCAGGCAGAGTTGTTCTAGACAATGCATACTGCAGCTCTGCTGGCTGAGCGCTGCGCTTTTGCCAGGCTCCTCCGGCACTTTAACGTTTTGTTCCAAGACGAATTTTCTTCAGAAGATACGAAGCACATCTTTACCCAAGTCTTGCAAGGAGCATGGGCACGAAGTCTGCCGGCCTTCCTTGGTTGTGCTGAAGACATCATTGAAGCCACAGTTGCTGCATATGAGCGGATCACGGAACATTTGCTCCCGACGCCTCTCAAATGCCACTACATCTTTACCATCCGAGATATTTCAAGAGCGTTAGAAGTCATGCTCATGGCAGATACTAGTAAACTTAAAACAATAACGGATATTGCACGGTACGCTCCCCTCGAGATATACCCGTCATTCAGTGTCTTCTATACGTCCGAAGCAAAGTAACTCGAAGATCACTCTTCCTGCTCCTGTGTCGTGAACAGGCTCTGGTTGCACGAAATGCAGAGGCAATTCGGAGATAGACTGGTGTCAATAGAGGACCGAAAGTGGACAGAGAGAATGCTGGTCAAACAAATTTCGGCTAGTCTGAAGATAAAAAATGAATTGGCAGACTGCGTTTGCTCCCAAATTATGTTCGGCGACTTTTCCCAGATGGACTCCAGTAAAAGCTACTCGGAGATTCTAGCTTCAGAGGAAGAAATGAATGAAGTGCTCACTAGGCAAGGCTTAATCGTTTGCTACCTTTCGATAGCCGTCCACCTTCCTCGACAGCGATGCTGAATGCTCAAGCAAACACGCTCAAAACCTGACACGCCGGTGTAGCACACCGTACGTTACGAGTCCTACCGCAAACTGTCTCAATTCAGGAGGATTCTGTCCCAACAGGTACCTGGAACAATACAATGCAGACGCAAAGGCGCCCATTGACCTGGTGTTCTTCGAACATGCCAACAAGCATATCGCTCGNCTGCTTTAACATGCCAATAAGTATCTTGCAATTTATACCTAGCGCAGAAAAACAGACATATATAGGGAATGAAAGACTGATGGCGGACCGTGACCTGCTTCTCGTATAGACGGACAACGCGATGTGCGCTTCACGCACCTACTGCGTCCTGGCAGGCCGTGAAAGCTTGTCTCGCCTTGCTGCCTCAATCATGGAGTACAGCACAGTAACGATTTCAACCAGGTCTCGGTGGGGCCCCAACGACGTACGAGAAGACCTTCGAGATCTCATTATGAAAATCTGCGCAGACAGAAAGGACTTAGTTTTCCGTGTTTCAGAATACAAAATTAAACATGAGGAATGGCTCCAGGACATAACAAGCATCATTACTACAGGTTTGTTGCTACATCCAGAATTGGCAGCACCCCATTCCGAAGTCCCCTATCCCTACCCTTCCTTTTTAGCCATGACCCGCAGTATACTAGTATTTGTTTAGCGTGTGCACCAACTGCAGGGGAGATCCTTGGNTTTTTAGCCATGACCCGCAGTATACTAGTATTTGTTTAGCGTGTGCACCAACTGCAGGGGAGATCCTTGGGCTGTTTGACCAGTCGGATAGAGAAAAACTTTCGTTTCAAGTGAGATCGCCTGAAAAGCCGGAACCAGCTAACCCTTCTGATGGTTGGGAGGCAGTGGTGTCACTAGTACAGCGGAAGCTTCACTTCGTAATAAGCATGTCCGCTTCCGGCGAAATCTTTAGGTAAGTAATTTTACTGTTACAACCATATTTGTACGAGCACTCAGGGCGTGAAGTAATATAAACGACGCGCTGCCACGGCGCGGATGGCTCCAATGTATAAAATCGAAAGCATTCACTCACCTACAGATAGCATAAGAAACACGACACAACATATAGGCAGCGCTGCCCTTTTCACACAGGAAAGTCAACTACACTAAGACTATTGGTCAATGTTTTCGCAGGGCAAGATGCCGTCGTCTGCCTGGCTTGTTGAGTGGCTGTACGCTTAACTTCTACGA